TTCGTGTAAACAACACCAACTACCAGGGCTACAAAAGTTGGCCCGAAAATGAATGGCAACCATTTATTGATAGCAAGTAAGGGGGTGAAATAAAAACAAAGGGGAAGGGTGGTGTGCTTTGAAATAGGTAAGGAAATTTCTTAAAGTTATGAAAAGTCAGGAAAAATGATGGAAAGTATTAACAAAAAATATATTTTAATATATAACTAAGATTTATTAGTAAATATATTTTATAAGAATTATTTTCTTTTTTATATTTATCTAAATAAATTGGGAGAATTTAAAAAAAAAACTTTAATTTACCCACAAAAAATGACTTCTTATTTAAATAATACTGTTTATTTATTATTTATGCTTTAATATCTAATATTATTAAAACTTCAAAAGAAATCCAACTAAATTACCAGAATTTCAAAAGAGTCTATTGTTTATTGACCCAAAATTGAATGATAATGAATGCCTGTGCCGAATTCTGAGCTCCCCTCTGGAATCCCACGCAGATAGGAATCTTGATTCCATTTAATACAATCAAAGCTAAACAGGGCTTCGTCTGAATTCCGAGAAGACCGAGTGAGCAAACCGCAGTCCACCACTAAAACAGGACCGCATCCACACAGCACACACACATGCATAACTAAGGAGTCCACGGAGGCAAACAAATAAACAAACAGGGATACACCAGCCACCCCCCTTTCGCACGCCCCTGGCGCATTGCTTTCCTGTGTTTACTTTGGACATCGCATAAAGGTGACCAGACTCTGTGATATGTCATTTATTTTCAGCGCTGGCCGCGCCCGCCATTTGTAAACTCAACCGGAAAATTGCTTTTCTCAGCGCGTAGTGTTTCAGCTCCTCTTTTACCTCCCACCCCCCAACGAAAACCCTTTTTTCCGCCAGTTTTCCCTTTAGTTTTTCCGCCGCTAATGGCTGGCTGGCGAAAAAAAGTAAGTAAAACAACAAAATATGGCATTCAAAAATGTTTTGTTTTCCTCGCAAAAAAAGGGAAAAGGGAATTTAGAGGAAAACTGTTTACAGTTGTAATTAAATTCGCAATCGAGGGGGCCTTCTATTTAATTGTTCGGCATCAACATTATTTTAAGTGGGAGGGCGAAAGAAGAGGAGCTGCGGGGCGCCCAGCCAGCCATAGGGGGCGTATACGTGATCGTCGAGGCGAGCTCATAACTCATAATACGTATACGCCCCATCGTCTTGGCCCCGCTACGTGCCAACTGTCAAAAAGCGGCATCCTGCAGCGAGGCATTCCTTTTCCGTTTTCCCTTCGCTTTTCCTTTTCCCCGAAAGAGTCAATAAATAAAGCATACATATTGATATGGCCATGTTTTTCCAGGGGGGGAGGGAAAAAGGGCAGTAGCAGCAGCACTTAAAGTTATCCTCCTCCGCAGAAATATACAAACTTTGGCGTGCAATTTTTAATCCAACCCCGATTCCTACTCTTAATTTTCCAATGCAGCTGCATAAACACATTTGATTTCATATCGCTCCACAATTTTCGCCCCTGCAGCTGCCGGATTCCCACACCCCCTAAATGGGCGATAAACGAGGCCAAAAGGGAGGGCAAATGAAAACCGAAATTAGTTGAGATTCCCAGCCAAGTTATGCACTCAATAAAGATTGGCAACATCTCGATTTGTTTGCCTTGGATTAGGGGTTTCTCCTTTACTTTTTTGTGGGGCAAATAAGAAATATAATAAATACTAAATAAAATATAATAGTATATTTAAGATAATCAAATTAAATCAAAATATTTATTTATATAATATTAATATACTTTATTGAGAAAATGAAATAGTATATTTAATTAAATTAAATGAATTACAAATTCTAACTAAGCTAATATAAATAAATAAAAATACAAAATAAAATAAAACAATCGGGATAGCAAATTTGAATACAAATTAATGATTCATATCAAAGGTCTTACAATATTCAGTTAATTATATTTATTTATAGCTTCTCAGATGTTCAACATTTGCTAAACGATTTAATTGACCAGCTTGAATATTTTTCCTTGGCTAATCAATTTGTATCTGCCGCCACGCCGATGACACTCATAAAATGCGCTTGACAAAAAACAAAAAAACTATAAACAATAAAAATAAGCCCTCAAAGTGGAATTGAAAAAACAAAACAAAAAACCACAATGGCAAATGCTAATCAAGAAACAACTATCAAGCAAAAGGCCAACCTTGACTTTCATACCAAAAACCCAGCGATTCCCCCGCCCCTCAAGGTCATTCGCGTCTCTTGCCAAACTCCGCTGGTTTTCTCCCATCACTTCGCTGTGTGTTTTGGTTTTGGTTTTGGATTCGAACTCGGATTCTTTCGGCCAATTGCCATGTCGCTGTTTTGGCCACAATTGGAAACCGGTAAGAAAAGAAGCCAGCGATGCGACATTGACAAGTGGTAATTGATGGGCGAGGGCCGAGTTATTTCTTCGCTTCTTTTTTCTTTTTTTTTGGCCTTTTGATTAACATTCAATTGACCACCGAGGCAATTGAAACTTTTGTTGCGTTTTTGGGGGCTTGTTGGCCTGTTGGTTTCTCGAAAGTATGATTAATTCGCACGTTAAAGGTGATGGAATTTCGGCGATATTTGAGGATTTGTTGGGTAATTGTTTGTGCTGACTCATATAATTGTTACAAAATAATTGCCTTAGTTTTGCAATAGTTTTATAATATTTTAATATATTTTCTATATTTTATTTAATTATTTTTTAATATTTTTAATATATATTTAAATTTGTCAAACAATTTCAATTGATTTTCTTCGAGTCTCGGGAAATTTCCCGACTCATTCAGCAGACAAATTTCCCCCACATTTTCCGCAACATTTCCTCTAGCTGCGTAACTGCAAAAGCCCCCTGTTTTTGTGAGGCCTATTAATTTGCACAAATTGCACACATTTGCCACGACATGTTAATCTCCCTCGCAGATTGCATAATCAACTGCAGTTTTGCAGCCGATGCAGCCAGCGAATTGCTGAAAGATGAGGCAACTGGGTCACTATTGTTTACACGCCGCTGCGCATGCGTCGCTGCCTCTTTCGACTTCGAGTGGCTTCAAAAGCGATTTAAAATTCACCGAAAATTCAACCCCAACCCATTTTTTATTTATTCGCCTTTTGCGTATGGAATTTTGTTTTTTGTTTCTGTTGATCTTTCGGCTTTTGAGCTTTGGATTCAAGGCCGTCGAAGATTTCGTGGGATTTGTTGACTTTATCTTGTTATCTGCGCGATGTGCGATGTTCACCTGTCGAACTCGGCGAGACCCCAGAAACTGGAGCAAGGGAAACCGGCTTCAAGTGGTTAATACACTCAAAAAAAAATTTTAGAAAATCGCCTATGGATTTGCTTTACTGGCGATTTTTTTCTATATTTCTGGAATATTTCTTGAATTTAATGAATTTTGATTAATTGGAAGAAAATTTTCTTTACCAGTAGAAAATTTTTTTATTTTAAAGAAAAAAATCGCCAGTGAAGCAAATCCATAGGCGATTTTCTAAAATTCAGGGCGATTCATTTTCTGAGTGTAGTTGCAGTATGATTGAGCTGCTTTTATTGAAAAAATGCTCATAAATTCAATCATAAAGATTTTTCAAGGTGTTTTTCACAGTATTTTAATTTTAAACATTTTTCTAAATTCTTAGATAATTTCTATAATGTAAATAAATGTGCAGGAAATATTAACACATGTCGAAGTAATTTTTTTAATTTAACGCAATAGAATTTCTGTCTAAAATATTCCCAAAGTATTTATTAAATTCGTCACACATCAAAAAAAAACAAGAGAGAACGCTATAATCGAGTGCCTCGACTATTAGATACCCGTTACTCAGCTAAACAACTTAATAGAAATATGCCTCCTTTTTTGTTTTTCGAAGCTGGAATTAGCTCCCGTTTTTTACCCAGGGAACTCCACGTGGAGGCCTTCTAAAACTTTCAATTCTGCCTAGCACATCTTCCGTCTCTCTCTAGCGCAGGTGAATGCACTTGTGAAAAACGAATACGAGCAAAAAGAGACAAAATGCGCGCCCTTTTCAAATAATTTAAAATTTGCAATAACATATTGTGAATTAGTGTGACCACAGAAAAAAAGGACAAAAAGTTCAAATTAACCATCTGAATAGATGGCGCTATTGTATATTGAATTGAGCCATCTACCCCAAGATATTGGTACTACTGGCCATGAAAGGCGGAAATGTAGGCGCTAGACAGGTTTAAGCGTTAAATGGGTTTTGCGGGCGTTAGAGTGGGCGTGGCAAACTTTTACTTGGCCAATCGATATGTATTGACGAAACAAATACATATCAGTTACTATTTTCATAATAGCTTCAAAACTGTGGGCGATAGAGAGGGCTAGTGGGCGTTAGAGGGGGCGTGCCACCTTTTTGAAATAAACTTGCGCTGCGTAGGAACTCCCAGAATCTGCATGCAAAATGCCAATCTTCTAGCTTTTATAGTTTCCGAGATCTCAGCGTTCATACGGACAGACGGACAGACAGACAGACGGACAGACGGACAGACGGACATGGCTAGATCGACTCGGCTAGTGATCCTGATCAAGAATATATATACTTTATGGGGTCGGAAACGCTTCCTTCTACCTGTTACATACTTTTGCACGAATACAATATACCCTTTTACTCTACGAGTAACGGGTATAAAAACAGATATTTTAATATTCCACTTTTTAAATGCCAATGTATCCCGCACTTTGTTTTCCAATTTACCAATTTCCATTGCACATTTTACACATTTTCGCATACTTTTTCATCACACACTCGTTAAAATCCTTGCCCAACACACGCGTTAAAAGGCAGAGGTCAGCCGTGGGTTAATGTTTGCGCCGCTTGCCAAACTTACGCAGCCAAAAATATTTCCAAAAAAATTATTTGTAACTTGGAATGCAGCACAGCGGGGAAAAATAAATGTAACAACAAAATAAATCGAAAAAATGGGAAAAACAAACAATGAAACTCACTTTCACGTGGCCCGCTAATCAATCGGCCAATCAATCGGACACTCCAAAAAATATATATCTATAACACTCGAGTGCAGAGCAATCGAAATCGAAAACGAAACGGAAACCGAAACTAAAGTGCGTTTGAGCACAAAAAAATCGAAACTGAAACAGAAACCGAAGCCGAGACCAAAACTGAAAATGAAATCTATTTCGGCCGGCAACTTGTTAACTTGGTTTTGGCGCACGCGAAAGAGAACTAAACGCGAGCGGCGGCCAAATTGTTTAAACTTTATGCAGCCTCAAAAACCAAAACTAAAAAACTACAGAAAAAACACACATAACTGACGTCGCCGTCGACGGCGGCAGAGGGCACTTCAAAGAGCCAAACGTACAGCGGTACAGAGCCCAAAACCTGAAACGAACCGAGGCGCCGGCACAGTGAACCCAGGCCAGAAGAGCTGGTTAATTGAAAACTGAGGAGCTTAGGAAATTTCTAGTGAGTTTTCATTGAAAAAAAAAATAATAATTAATAAATAATTTCACTTAAATACACAAATTAGGATAACGCAATACAATAAATATATTAAATAATTTATAAATATAGTAAAATAAATAACATCGATACGTTTCAAACAGAACCTTATATATTTTCCGTTATTAAAGCGTTTGAAAAGTAGATCTTAATGAGGAAATTTTAAGAATGTTGAAGCTCATTTTGTAAAAATATAATATGATATTTCAACATTATTTTTTGTATAATTGTTGTTTGGCTCCAGAAATAACATAAAATATTTTCTATTAAAAATACTTAGAAAGTGATAGCTAAATTTGATAGGATTTTCTAAATATTTATTTTTGACCACTTTTTTGGCCCACGGCAACCACTGTGGCAAGCCAGGCTTGAGAAGTGCAGTCAAGTGGACTTGGACGTCGACGCCGGCAGAATCCAAAGCAGCGGCTGAGACTGCGCTGCCCGCACGAAGCTGTAAAGTAAACGGCACAGGCTGCAAATGCTGCAGACAACAACAATGCGGCCAAGACAACAACAGAGAGCCACGTTAAGAGCTCAGCTGACGCGGCTAAATGCTGCTGGCATTGCATAATATCTGGTATAATATCTGGGTAATGGACAATCGCACCGCGGGCCTTGAGATCGAGAGCCAGAGATCGAAAACCCTGGCTTTCCAGAGCCAAGAACCAATTTTAAAGACCTAAAAAGTCAGATTTAACTGGGCGACAAATGGGTAAAAAACCCATGTAAAAATAATACCCAACAAAGCACTTACAAAACGTCCCCGCAATTTTGTAAAGAAAGAAGCCAGCCAACCAGCAATATTTTTTGTAGTTTGTATTTTTTGTCGCCTTTGTTGCTTCTGTTGTTTATGCAATAATCGCACTAATTGAAACGTTTTGTCAGGAGCCGCGGCAATGGCAACAATGGCGATAACACCATCAAACATCAAACACAGAGACAATTGTTTAATTGCCTTCATTTTTATGATAGTGCAAAAAACAAAAAGAAAATAAAAGAGAGGAAAAAAGCGACACATTTTTTGCACTTTACTTTTTCGGATAAAACTAAACATTTTCTTTTTTTTTGGGTTGATATGTTTATCACAATAGCTGCCATGCTGAGAAAAGAGACCAAAAATTAAATAAAATAAAATAAAATAAAAACATTTTCGCTCCGGATGCGTTCGCAATGTAAGTTTGGGCACCGACATTTAAAAACCGGAACCGAAATGCTACAAATTCACCGAAATTCATTCGCATAAAGTTGGCCGAAAAGGTGAACCGAGGGTGTCTTGACCGAGGAATACCCATTGAATTAAATGAAATATTTAAATAGCTATAAAGCAAGAAATTCTAGGATATTTCAATGATAAACAAATATCCCTTCAATCTACAGATAATCGAGATAGCAACAAAGAAATGTAAATTTGCTTATACATTTTCCATTCTTCCATAAACTTTGAATGAAATCCTGCACGAGTTTCCCATTCATTTCACTTTTTTGTGTGATTAATTAAGTAAAAAACACAGACTCAACTTGAGTTGGATAATTGTAAACGAGAGAGCCAAATTGCACAAAATGGTCTCAATTAAGGCCGGCTGCCCGTGTGCAAACAAATAAATTTGTATTTAATTAAAGTACTGAAAATAAAAGTAACAATTCGCACACCCAGCGAAACATTTTCAGATCAACTTTTATGGCATTAAATGCAAAAATGCCGACAGTTGTTACTGAAAAACCAGGGACAGTTTTAGGAATTTTCCAGCAGGCATACAAAATATATATTTAAATATTCAAAATAAGAAAATGTGTGTAAGCCTGCTTTATAAATACCGTACCTACTAATGATTTTTATCATATAAAAATATTTATTAAGATCAGAAAAATTTAAAGAATATTTTGGCAAACATTTTGGGTAATTAAATATTTATGCGATTTAAATTTAGCAATTTGAGAGTATCCTTTATCCATTTCGGAGAGAGTCGCCGCCCATCGTTTCGGATTTGTTTCCGATCCCCGTGGGCCTCGCATTTTGCATTTGTTTTTGCCATAAATGAAATATGCATATCGTAATATGCAGTTGGTAAAATGTCGGTTTTCGGTATTTGTTAAAGTATTTTGTCGGCCTTTTCATATTATTGTTTTTGCATCCGTTCCACCTTTCCCCTCTGTTGTTTATTCCTCAATGTTCCTGCATTTTTAAAATATATTAATTTTCCAACAACAGCAAAAATATGTGTGTGTGCCAAGCAACAACAATTGCAGGAAAACAAATACTGGACAAGTTGAATTGCAACTACTTTTTGTTGGCCTCTTTTCGTTAGATTTTAGTCTGATTGTCGAACAACAATTTCCCATTCCTAAGTCTCGCTTTTCATCCATTTGCCACATTTTTGATAAATTCGAAATTGCCAGAGCTGGGAAAATTCCTCAATTTCATATTTGACCAATTGCTCTTAATTGGGTGAATTATAAGGTGATTCGGTTTCACAGACTGCACAAATGTGTTTATTTCAAGTAAATGCCAACCCTTGACACTAGCCATCAATAATAATTACGCAAGTTGTTCTTGACTTTGGTATTTCTTATTTAACTTGTTTATTTGTACAAATATAATGGAAATTTCCTGTATTTACTTACAGCTCTTTAAAAATTATCTTAAAGTTTCTAAGTAATTTCTCAATTTTAATTGTAAGTTTTAGCAATGTTTTTCCTTAATTTATTTAATTGTTTATATTTTCAATCACATTTAAGCCTAGATTTATTTATCTATCTTTAAATTTTGAAGTATTTTGTAGGTTCTAATTATACATTTTGAAGAGTTATCAAAAGGTTTTTCTAATTATAAATTTTGAAAAATTATCAAAAGGTTTATTTACATATGAATTGAATATTGAAGCCGCTTTTCCTTCCAGGACTTCCAGTTTCCACCTGTTGATTCCCTCTCTCTCTCTCTCTCTCTCCTTGGCAAAACTCACCACAGACGAGCTCAACTCCACCATAGGCCACAGGACACACGAAGTGGGATCCTTGGGCATTCGTCTTCAGTTGTTTTGGGCCCTTCAAGCCGGCAACATTCATGATTTGCCTCTCAATCGATTTCCTTTTCGTTGGGAAAATGCGAAAAACCACTGGGAAATTCCGAGTCCCGAAACCCCACTACATAACAATGAAAATATAATTTTACTGCCTAGTAAAAATCCATGGCCATGTATAAAACCGTTCGTTACGCTTCGCCTTTGCTTTACTTTTACTTTTTCATTTCCCTTTCCCAGTTTTCCCGTTCTTCCTTAGCAGGCAGCCAAAAAAAGGGGACATAAAAAATCAAAAAAGATTACTGCAAAAAAAAAACGAAAAAACGCGCGGGGAAAACTATGAAAATTTAGCTGAGAATGATATCGGGGCAAGTCAAATTTAATTTCACGCTTTGCTAGTTCGCTCTAACCCTCTCGAAAATATTAATAAAAACGAAATTCTAATAAACCATGTTAGGGAAATGTTGGGTGGTTAAAAAAAAGGAGAGGCAAATTCCGATTTGTTTTCCCATTTTTATGGAGTATGCGATTTTTTTTATGGTTTTTCTTTATTTTCAAACTGCAGCTTACAAAAAAGGGATTACAAAATTGAATTTTACTCTCTTTCTTAACAAAACGAATTTTGTTTTAGTATTTAGTTACAATTAAATTGGCTTTTGCATGAATTTCCTGATCTTTTATTTTTTATATCCAAAAATATGAAGTACCATAAAAGTTGCAATAGTTTTTCGCCCTTGAATATTCTGAAATTCGGTGAAAGTTTCGGCTGAAAGTGAAACTAATTTTTATTTATGCGCGGCACAAGGACGAAGGACGAAGGGGGGGATAAGTGTTTCGGTGGGAGGAGGATTGATGGTGGGAGGCCTTACACAAAATTGCCCAGCATTATGCCAAAGCAAATTGCAAACACAAAGAGGAAAACTAAGGGAGACACACACACGTGTAGCCGGAGCTTGGCCATAAACAATGAAATTTGTTGCTCACTTTTATGAGTTCCTTTCCTCAAACACCAGAGAAAGTGGGCGGAGAAAGGGGTGGGTGGGTTGAAGCGGTGATGGGGCAGCATCAACATACTCGCCTGTTGGCTGTTGAGTCCTTTTAGCCAATTTTAGTGTCTTACAATTTTCCGCATTGTCTCCGTTTTTGTGCTTATCCATTTCCTCCTGCTCCTCCTGGTTTTCCCCTTTCCCTTTCCCATCCCCTCTCCATTTCCACATTTTCTTGGCCACTTTCACGCCACTGTCATTGCTAAGCTTAAGTTGTAGCAGTTGGGCTTGTGTTGGCCTTGTTGCTGTTTGGCTAAAAGCATCCTCGGCCCTTCAGCCAGAAAAACCATGTCCACATCCTCTGGCAGGACAATGCAAAGGGCGCCAGGATGCGGGAATCGCAAGTATTGGAGATGGCTTCGTGATGGATGGGGAATTTTAGAAAATCAACAAGAATTCTGGTAGTTTAATTATTTTCCAGTATTCTAGTATTTTATAGATTTATAGTATATTTTTCGAAATATGGTTTTATTGGTATTTTGGTTAGAAAATATTCATTTAAATATTTCACTATTATCTATAGCACTTTTATATTTAATTTCTAATTTTATATATTTAATCACTGTCTCGTCAACGCAAAACCCAGTTGCACTCACAACTCTGGGACGAGGTCACGCCTCCTTTTAGAGGCGTTGAGCC